GCTACTCAGCTCTATCCCTGTCTCTTATACACATCTAGATGTGTATAAGAGGAGAGAGGAAATGCAAGAGCGGAGGGGACAAGATCTAAAGCTAGCCGGAAAGAGAGAGAGAGAGAGAGAGGCCGAATGAGAGATATAAAAGAGAAAAGGGGAGAACGGGGGGGATGTGAGCTAGAGAAAGGGAGAGGAGAGAGAGAGGGAGAGAGAAAGCGAATGAGAGAAAGGGAAAGAAGGGAGAGAGAGGGAGACAGAAAAGCGAGCGAGAAGAGAGAGAGAGAGAGAGAGAGAGAGAGAGAGAGAGAGGGGGGGGGGGGGGGGAACACTAAGTGACAAACAGGCATTACATGGGCTGAGGCTGCTGATTGCGACACTGAGTTCGGGAAAGTCGCGCGGCACAGCGCGAGTCCGCTGGAGACCCGGAGCGATCCCGGTGAGCCGTTCCCTTTTCTTTTGCGCTGATTGGTCTTTGTTCGTGACAGGTTCGTTCGGGTGAAGACGGTGCGCAATGCCGTCTTACCTGGCTCGACAAAGTGCCGCTTTTACTACGGAGGAGAGACTGTCCACGCTTGAAGGCAGTATCGAGGACGCAGCGGGTCGTCGCGTTGAATGAGGCCCATACCCTCGCGCATCCGACTGTCACCGGAAGGAGGCGGAAGGAGTGACTAACGATTCGCTGCGGTACCAAAAGCTAGGCAAGCGAAAGAAGAGAGAGAGAGAGAGGGAGAGAGGGAGAAAGAAGGAGAGAGAAGAGAGGAGGGTGGGGGAGCCTACCGAGGAGAGGGGCCACGGATGATAGTTCTTCTTTCTTCCCTGACCTCGGGTTCAGCGCAACAGACTGCCTAATTTTCTTTGTCTCCCTTCCTTGGGGCACGGGCTTTTGTAAACAGTGGTTAAGGGTTTTTCTTTCCTTTGAACTCAGAACCAGGTTGCAGCGGTTGGATGCCCTCTGTCAAACTTGTCTTGTGTGCTTTTTGGCCTTATCGCATTGTATTGCCTGTTATCTCGGCGGGTTGCAAGTCCGCTACGTTCGGGATTTGGTACAAGAGACTCCTCACCCAACAGGGTTCTATAAGGGGGTGAACGAGCACCAGCAGGGCCCGGGCTTGGGAGTGAATTGGGGGTGTAACAAGCAAAAAAAAAAAGGAACGAACGGGGGTCGGGTTACAGGGATTGAGCTGCGAAAGAAACATCGTTGGTCGGTCGAGGAACACGTTAAGAGCGAGCAGGGTCGGTCTCGATAGCGGGCAAAGACGAGTGACCACATTTAAACGAAAAAGGGAGCCCACTTGGCCGACAGATTGGCGCCGTTGTCGGGGATGGGCTTCCTCTAACAGCCTCGGCTGGTCCAAGGGACGAAGGGGGAAAGAGGAGTGTGACAGGTAGCGGCAAGTACGACAGGCAATGATGAGTGTGACAAGTAGCGGCAAGTACGACAAGCAACGACAAGTGTGACAAGCAGCGGCAAGTACGACGAGCGGCGACAAGTGTGACAGGCACCAACGAGTGTGACCGGCATCGACAGGTGTGATAGGCAGCCACGAGTGTGACGAGTGGTGGCGAGGGTGAGACGGTGACGAGTGTGACCGACGGCAGCGAGGGGTGTCTTCAACCTTTGCAACATTTCGGGCCTTTTGTCTACGATGATCGCGTTTCGGCCTCGAGTATGGACGGCACCTCCTTTTTTTGGTGATCTTGGGGGAGGGTGAAAGGGGCTTGTTGTTTTGCAGGTCCGTGCCGGCCCCGCTTGCGACTCCAAGAATCCTAGCCAGATCTCCTTGGGGTTTTGTTTTTGGTGTGTTTTGTTTTCGAAAGAATTGGAAATAAGAAGGAAAAAGTTTGTTGCTTGCTGATTGCGTGGACCGAATGAGGGTAAAAATTAATAAAAGAAGAGGGGTGGTTTCACAGAAAATCAAGTCAGTGGGTCGGCACGTGGGGAGGAAACAAGCACCTTGAGGGAACTGTTTGTCGGAGGGAACCTGGGATACCTTCCGTGTGGGATCCGAGGGGTTTAACTCCGAGGGAAAAGGCCTTACCTATCGTCCTTGACCCTCAGGGACTGACAACAAGACCCATGGTAACAGAGAGAGAAGGAAGGGGTTCGGTAGGAAGGGTTGTCTCCGGTTGGGAAGAGAGAGGTGCCGCCCAAAGGGCCGGCTCTAGAGTGGAAGCTCCCCCACCTCAAGTCGAGATAAGAGAGGGAAGGGTGTCAATTCAAGAAGGGCGTTCGCGAAGGGAAGACGTTTGGGAAGTTGAGAGTGTGATGGGCGAGGGTTTGGAGGCCAGGTCCTGGGTGGACCGGTGCCTTGCCGATTTCTCGGATTCGGAATTAGGGGATTATTGGGACCTCGATAACGAATATTAATTACAAGGTTAGTGGGGAACATAGGGCATGAGTTTGTGACTACGGTCTGACTCCGGGGTGAGGGTTGCCACCTCTCCTCGGGGATAACTTGTGCTCGCGGCTAGCCGCTATACTTGAAAGCAGGAGGACAGGGGGGTAGCCTGGTGAGGCGACTGAGCAAATGAATAAGCTCCCACAGCAAGTTCTGAGAATGTACCTGATCAGACTACCTGGGATGAGTAGCCAGTGCCTACAATAACAGCGTGCACCTGTCCACGTGTCGCACTCCCAACGAATTACACAAGTCCTTTAGACCACGCAAACCGTTTGAGGGACTTAACCGGGATCAGATTCATAGGCTACCGCCCGGTACTAGGGAGTTTGCGTTACAGCACGAGAAGGAGTTAGCTACCGTTGTAGAGAACCTCAGGAAGGCCCAGCATAGGATGATAGAGCAAGCCAATAAGCATCGTCGCCTGTCACAGTTTCAAGTAGGCGACTTAGTCTGGGTCAAATCTAAGGAGTTTGCTCCTGAGGAGAATGTCTCGCAAAAGCTATTGCCCGCATATAGAGGACCGTGGCCACTTCTAGAAGTTAAGGGCGGAGAGGATGGACCATCCTAGACAGTAGAGATTCCAGCGCACCTCCACCCCGTATTTCACGCGTCGAAGTTATTGCCGTGTGTCACAAGTCGACAGTTTTCCTCCAGAAGGTACATGATCCCTCCGGATATGGATGGAAGATACGACATTGACGGCATTGTAGGTGAAGATATATTCAGGACAGGAGGTAGAGATCGCCCTCAGAAACAGTACAAGGTGCGATTCACATATCAGGAACTGGAAGACGACCGCTGGTTTACCAGAACTGAACTTCTAGAAACAGCTCCCGACATAGTCAGGGCCTACGAAAGAGATAGGAAAGGTAAAGGTCCTGCCTTGGACTGAGACATTCTCGGAGGACCTCGAATTTAGGCCGGCGGGAGTGAAACGGTTTTCACCTTTGCAGAGGCAGATGCAGATCCCGGGGTTTGATCCCCAGACCTTACCTCACCCATGTACAGTATCGAGTTGACCCTTGAGTGTTTGAACCCGTGACCTGTGTTTCGTGAATTGTTGTTTGTCTGTCGTAGGACTGTGTGGACATAGGGATTCGATCTGTAGACCTGTCGGGTAGAGGTCTTAGAGAGTTCCAGAAGTCGTAGGCGTAGATGTCCTGAAGGGTCAAAGTCGTAGCTGCTACAGTCCTGAGAGGTCAAGGTCGTAGCTGCTACAGTCCCGAAAGGCCAAGTCCACAGACTTCCGGAAGGTCCGGAAGTGGCCTTTCGCAGCTTGCTCACATTTTAGACTGAGGCAAGTGGGCAAGTGGGCAAGTGGGCAAGTGGTGGACCAACCGCAGTACGTTCGCTGTACGATAGCGGTAGGTTAGCAGTGCGTCCCCGTGCAGTCAGCMGTGCGGTCCAGTCAGTCCCAGTCCAGTCCAGCAAGTACCATGGGGGACTGTGTGTACCATGGGCCGATGGAAAGGGGCAGACCAACGAGTTACAGAAGTATAAATCAAGAGGCAGCGCACAGCCATTCATTCATTCCTGCGGAAGCCATGCGAAAGCGCTGCCACGGTGACTTGTCCGAGGTGGTCTGCAGAGGAGCCTGAAGTCGATGTGGGCTAGAGGGAGTTAGCGCAGCCATCGCTGCTTGTAGAGTAGAGTTAGCTGGCGGCCATAGCTGCCATAGTTAGTAATAGGCGTGCATTCGTGTGTGTGCAGAGTGTGTGCGTGGGGTATCCAGGGTGATCCGGAGTTGAAGTGTGAAGCGAACAGTGGTGTTGGACACAGTGACAAGGGTTGCGATGGGTGGGCGCTGATGCACCATAGCCTGTTGAAGCGAGCTTGCATCTGAACTGCGTCTTGGTTTCCATATCTTCGAGCTTTGAGTTGGGCGCTATGCGCCAGTGTGATTCACCATCTGTTTGTATTCTTGTGAAGTGACGAAGTATGCGAGTCTGATTGCATAAGGAGCCCACCCCATTGCTCCAGCTAGCCTGGGAATTTTGTACCATAAAGCATCTGGATGTCCACATGTGAACAGTCATGGGAGTGGTCTTGAAAGATGTTTAGTTTTCAACACTTGGGTTTGGTTTGGGATTTCAACTGGACCCTTACTATGTTCATCTGATTCTCAGGAATTGTACTCTGTATAAAGTTATATAAACTGTTTTTTATGTCCTTCGGGACATCCGTTAAAACTGGAACGATACAGAGGAGATTAGCATGGCCCCTGCGCAAGGATGACACGCATAAATTGAGAAATGGTCCAAATAAATTAAAAAAGAAAAAGAAAAAAAAAGAGAGAGAGTCAACTGTTTTTTATCTGTGCGCTACAGCCCTCTGTGCACTTGATATCTGGATACCAAGTAGCAGACTGTGCAGATGGTCTGTCCAGATCTTCGTAAAGGTAGTTGGATCAGACCATGTATAACCAAAAATTACATTGGCAGCTGCTGAATTCTAGCAAACCAAGCTTAGTATGAAGAGTGAATAAAATCCCAACCAGAAGAGATGCTATTGGCATCCCTCTGACATCTGCAGCTGTGTGTTTGTTGTTATTTTTCTGTGTGGGTTGTGGGGCTCTGAATATGTCTGGTCCGTGATTGGTGACAGTGGACGTCATTCATGGATGCTGATGGTAGAATATCTGACCCGAAGGCCCTCAGAAAGCGTGTCTTTTATGGAGGTGTGGAGCCAAGTATCAGGAAGGAGGTATGCATCAGGAGTCTGTGTGACAGGATGGAAATTGACCATTGCTCATCTCTACTTTCCCCCCTTATTCTCCACCCGTCCATCCCTGATGATCTTCTGTAGGATGCAAATTCCCTTCTGGCAATCTATGCCTCCTCATCCGTCACCAATCTGCCCAGCCACTCATGATGTCCGTCCATTCGCTGATCCCCTTGTAGGCTTGCTTGCCAAACTGTCTGTCTGTCATCTGCCCTTCTGTCTGTCCCATTCGAGTGTTGCGCCTCATGCATCTGTCCCATCCATCTCTCCTGTCCGTCATGTCCCTCTGCCCGCCTCTCTTTTCCTTTCCCTTGCTGTGCGTCTCCCTCGGTCCTCTTCTGTGGCTATCCATTCAGTTATCCATCTAAGCCTTTCATCAATGATTCCATTCAACCTCTTCCTTGGCTGCTCCTGATGTAGTGTATCCATTGGTATGTCTTTCCCATTATTTATCTCCCTCTGTATACGACCCATCGATACTTCACGTCTTTCCCACTATTTATCTGCTCATGTCTGCATGGACTTGCTGCAGCTGGCCCATTGCCCCTCACATCACACTTCTATCGTGTGTGGACTTGTATGAAGCAGAATGAGTGATGCGCACAGCCTCACCCTTTTTTGTTTATCCGTTCACTGCCAATTCGTTTCCAATGAAGTACTGTGCACACCTACAAAGATCAGGCATCTATTTGACTGATTTGCCTGCTTTCGGGGTTTGTCCAGGTGTGGAAATTTCTTCTGGGTCATTTTCCGTGGAACTCAACATATGTCGAGCGGGAGGAGTTGCAAGAAGCTAAGCGGGAAGAATATCAGGTGCTCAAGGCCCAGTGGCAGGTGATTCGATCTTCTGCAGTCCTGAAGATCCTGCATTATTTCCTCTTGCCTTACATATACCCGCAATACTATTTTTTATACATCAGCCATCTCCTGAAGTGCGCCGAAACCATTGTTATGGCAGGCTTGTGGGTTGTGCATTTGATCTATCACATGGCGGTTGATGGCCACAATAGTTGGGCATAATCAGCTTTGTGTTTTCTGTCATCTGTCTGATCTATGGGCGTGGGAGGGCTACCTTCTTCCCCCGAACATAACGTATATACGTTGTGTTCGAGTTTTCCGTAAAAAAATGTTTTTTGGAAAGTTAGTACCTTTTTTTCAAATAGAAGGGTACTTCAAATACAACGCTGTATTCAAATTAAAAGCACATGAGCTCTAATCAGCTTTTGAAAAGCGAGAACTGTTTTATTCGAGTAGAATGACACTAGAGTCTAGAACCCCTTTTTGTTTGTTTGTTTTTTCCTCGAGGTCAGCGCCTTCTCTGTTTTCGTCCCGGCTCCTGCAGCTCTTGGTGAATTGAACGGTTTTACTTGAACCTGTGTGCCCCTGATCACAGATATGCTGTGTTTTGGCCTTGTGCTTTTGTCATAACCTGTGTGCAAGAGAGAGAGAGAGAGAGAGAGAGAGAGAGAGAGAGAGAGAGAGAGAGAGAGAGAGCCCAAGCACACCACCATGATGATGCGGACTGTTGAAAATGACAATGAAGATGAAAGATAAGGAGCATGATTGGGGAGGACAAGGTAAAATGGTAATGGCATCAGGAATCGGGAAAGCGGGCAGAAACAGGCTATGGTGGTCTCGGTTTTCTTTCGTTACTGACTCTCATCTCGAAAGGCAGAAGAAGCGACATGACGATGGGACAAAGTGATAGGATTGGGTTCCGAAAGCGGAGGAAAAGGTAATGGGAGGGAGATGACGACGTGAAGGATTCTGGGTCGGAATGCAATGGGGTGGGAGCGGAGGATGTGGGAGATTTAGGATGAGGGAAACGGAAGATGGTTGTTGCAGTTGCTAGGTGGAGGGGGAATGGGTGCAGGGGTGATACTTAAGGTACAAAATGCATTGAGCCTCCCAGCTCGACACCTTGAGCACACACACATCTTGAGAGATTACACGAAATCCACACTGGAGTCCAGATATGCGCAGCTTAGAAATTCCTACAAATGATCACATTAAACAGTTCAGAGACCCAGTCACCAAGCGCTCAACAGCGCAGAATTCAGCAACCCAATACCAGCATCCTCATCTAAGGTAGGTGACTCTCTTCTCTCCCTGGGTCCCTCTCCCTCTCTCTCTCTCTCTGTCTTCTCTCTCAGTTTGTCCCTCCTGGTCTTCTTCATGCATGCGCTCTCTCCCCCTCTCTCTCTACTTGAGAATCTTGACTCTGAATACATCCGCTGCTACTCAGCTCTATCCATACTACTAACTTATGCGGCTATGGCCGCCTTCCCTCTCAGTGCAGCGCTGCCCAGCAGGGCTCTCGCGCGCATGCTACTCGCGGATAGCGCACAAGCACTTCAGCAGCACTTCCACACTTCTCACAAATGAGCAATCTGTCCAAAATGTGATTGGCCATTCCATTTATTGACTTGGACTGAGCTTCAACTCGTCCCAGCCTCTGCTTCTTGTGGCTTGACTTGGTACTGGTACCACATGCCGACGGCCTGTTTGCTTCAGAATGTCAAGTCCTGGTACTTTCCTGAATTTTCATGGGTGTGCTGCTGCTTGGGTCTGTGAGTCACGACTTTTCACCGGTGGAGCATGACTTTTGACTGTGGGATGTGACTCTTGTCTCTGGGACACGACTTTTGCCTGGAGAAGTGTCCTTTGCCTGTAAGGTACCCGACTGTGACTTTTCTGAAACTGACCGACTTGGCCCCCCTTGCCTGGGACATCATATTTGCCATCCATATCGGGAGGAATCATAGATCTACAAGACGGAAACAACTCATTGCTGACACAAGGAAGCAACTTAGAGGCATGAAACACTGGATAGGTGTGCGAATGCAGAGGAATCTCAACAACGTAGGAAGGACCATCCTCGTCACCAATCACGTCGAGTAGCTGCCACAGTCCCCTATATGCAGGCAATAACTTCTGCGAGATGTTTTTCTCCGGGAGAAACTCTTAGACTTCACCCAGACCAAATCCCCTATAGCGAACCTAGAAGGTCCGCGGTGTTTATTTGCCTGTTCTATCATCTGATGCTGTGCCTTTCGGATGTTCTCTCTCACCTTTTCAGTCTTTCTGATATTGCACAGCGAACTCTCTAGTCCCTGGCGGAAGCCTTTGCACTTGATCAGGGTTCAGACAGTCAATGGGTCTGTGTGGGCGCCAACCGAAATGCAGTTCAGTGGGCGTTCTTGCGTTAGCCAAATGCACAGAATTGTTATAGGCACTAGCGACCTTAGGTATATGTTCATCCCAGTCTATTTGATCTGGTGGGATGTACATGCGCAACACTTGTTGCAGCACTTTGTTCATCTGCTCGGTCTGTCCATTTGTTTCAGGGTGTCTACCTGAAGACATAGTCAGTTTGGACCCATACACGCTCATAAGTTGTTGCCAGTGCTTGCCCGTGAACCTTGAATCCCTATCACTCACGATAGTCAAGGGATGTCCATACAAAAACAGTGAACTTGCTAAATCTGTCCACTATTACCATCACCTGGCTTTTCCCATTCCTACTTCTTACTTTAGTGTTTGTAAAAAGTGTAAAGTCTATAGACACGGAGTCTCTGGGACTTGACGGTATAGGCAGTGGTCTAAGTAAACCAAGTGGCAGCTGTGTGGAACTCTTGTTCCGCTGACAAACCTTGCAGCCTTGCACGTAAGCCATACAATCGTGTTTCATACCAGTCCATGTGTAGGAACGTAGGAGGTTAGCATACGTTTTCCTCCAACCGAAATGTCCCTCAGCACTGTTTGGTATGCATAGTCTGTCATGTAGGATCTCCTCACTGTTTGGTATGCATAGTCTGTCATGTACGTCCGTCTTTTCAAAAAGCAGTCCTTGGGTCACTGTATAGTCCGGAACTTCATGCGGTGCCGACTGCACCTTATTAATCAGTTGATTGTAGAATGGATCACTAGTGTAGCCAGACCTAGCCTTCTCTTGTAATTCAGTGCCCGCATTCAAGTATGTTACAATGGCACCGAAGAAGTCTGCCTGCCTACTTAGCGCATCAGCGACAACGTTATATTTCCCTTTGAATGGCTTCAGTTCAAAATCAAACTGATCTATCTCCCAGCCCACCTAGTAAACTTAGGTGTCATTCTAGCTTGGGTCTTTAGCCAGCTAAGTGTCTCGTGGTCGGAATAAACTTTGAAATGCCGCCCTAGGAGGTAATGTCACCAATGATTCAGAGCTCCTCTAAGAGCAAACAACTCTCTTTCTTACGTAGAAGCCGCGACCTTTTTGCTAGGTAGTCTACAGGACATAAACTCGACGGGTCTGTACCCGTCGCCATCATTCTGCTGAAGTACTATCCCGTATTGACTAGTGTCGGTGGTCACTATAAACGGTAAGGACGGATCAACGATCTTTAGAACAGGGTACTCTATTAAGCACTTCTTCAGATGCTTAAAGGCTGAGGTACAGTCTTTGTCCCATTTCCAGACTCTCTTTCCTCAACAGCCTACGCAATGGAGCAGCTATTACAGTAAAGTTCCTCACGAACTTGCGGTAATAGTTGGCCAGACCAAGGAACGACCGCAGTTCCGTCAACGTACGTGGCGTCGACCAATCTCTAATTGCTGCTATCTTAGCGTCTTCCGATTTAATTCCATCTCCATCCAACACATGTCCCAAATATAACACCTGATGCTTGGCCCACTCACACTTCTTCGGGTTCAACTTAAATTGTGTGTCGCGCAACTTACTTAACACTAAATGTAAGTGTTGTTGGTGTTCTTCTAACGATTTACTGAAAATCACAATATCATCCAAATATACAACTACAAAAAATTATCTAACCAATCATGGAAGAGTTCATTCATACATCGCTGAAGGCATTAGTCAATCCAAATGGCATGACCACACATTCATAGTGGCCATATCGAGTTCTAAAGGCCGTTTTGTGTTGATCTTCAGGCAACACCTCGATTTGATGGTAGCACGACTTCAAGTCTATCTTCGAGAAGAACTTGCAACCCTGCACTCTATTTAGGCGATCGTCTATCTGCGGTAATGGCTCAACATTCTTTATGGTTATCCCATTAAGTCCCCTATAATCTATACACATACGCAGATCGCCTTCTTTCTTCGGCATGAACTGGACCGGTGCGCCATACGGTGAGGAACTTGGCTTAATCCACCCTTTCTCTATCAACTCATCTAACTGTGTGCGTAACTCATCGAGCTCCTTGAAAGACATACGATAGATGGGGCCTTTGGGAATCCGGCTACCGGGTTCTATGTCTACCCGGTGCTTGGTCTCCCTCAACACTATTCCACTCGGGGCCTCTCCCACATCAACGAACTCGTCTAACAGACTTAGCACTTCGGGGGGTATGGGCACTTCTTCCTTTTTCCCTTCACTGACCGGTCTCACATAGGCAACGAACACCTGTTTGGCGAGGTCATTCTTGACCACGTGCCTGGCGAACGTGGGGGTACTCGTACAACGAAGGGACAAACTACTCTATACGCCGGATGCATGAAACAAACACTTCTTCTTCCCACCTGTGGGACTGGACAGCCAGAAGTCGTGCTCGCCCATCTTAACATCAGCATACGCAGCCTTGCCTCAATCAGTTCCCAAAATCTTGTCAAAAGGAAGGCTATCCTCCACTAAGAGTGTCAGGGAGTGCAAAATTTTCTCCACCTTTCTCCCTGCCTCCAAACGGAAGTATGCCTTAACCCCTTCAACATACTCAGTTACTATCATCTCCCTATTATCGACCAATTTACCGACTCATCGAGCTTCTTCACCTTCATTCCAGGTGCATCTTCTGCAACCCTCTTTTGTTAATATAATTGCGCGTCAACCCACTGTCTACTAACGCGCCTATCCTTTCCCTACTTCTACATCTGCTATTATTAGCTGCCCCTTCGACTTCTTCTTTATTTCGGTCCAAGAGAGGCGACGAGTGATCGGTTCATCACCAATGCTTGCGAGGGAACCACCTAGAGAGGTCCACGTACACGCAACCTCTGAACAACTAGCTAGGTGGGGGCCTACAATAGTCTCTGCCAATGGGATCTTCGGACAGGAGGGTGCCTTCTCAGCACGCGCTTCTATTTTCCCGTCTAAGTTCGAAGTCCTCGTAGAGGCGACTGCAACCTCTACTGGCTGTTCCCTTTTGGGTGGGACAAAAAGGAACAATGTGGCCGGGGTCACCACACTTGAAACATTGCCCGACCTTGCGACGATCATCCCATACCTTTTCGTCTATACCCATCTCCAACCAAGGTTTGCCTTCAGCTATTCTCGGGTGCTCTGGGTACGGCCGCCAATTTCTACCTCTACCTCTACCCCCTATGAAGGGAGAACCTCTACCACCTTGCGAGGGACCATAACCCGTACCTCCCGCGTAATAGCTACCTTCGCCACCACCCCTCTGGGCAGCAGGTCCTCGACCTCCACGTCTTCCTCGAGCTCAACCTCCTCGACCTCGGCCTCTACCTTGTCGCCCTCCCCCACGGCTGCAACTGCCGCATAGTCCCCTCCCCAGGCTACTTGGCTGTTGATAACCTCATCCAGACCATAATATATCTGGGCATATGGAATGACTCTACACCTCCTTCCTCGAAGGTGACCAGCAGATTATCCGGTCTTGCCGGCCTGTAAGTCCTTCCAATACAGGCAGTAATTTGCCTCTTGGAGGAAGCCAGCATGGTCCACAGCTATCTTACTAAATTTTTCGTAAGTCATCCCTTACTCTTTGGTACGGGGATATAACTGGGTCTTGATGGGTTCTGGCAGAGCTCTAGCAAAGTTTTTAAGAATCTGTGCGGGGGTCAGTGTTACGGACTCAGCCAAGGCTCGATCCCTGGTCCACGCGTTACCACCCACCAGGCTGCTATTCTATTTTATTTGGAGTCTCTAATCTCCAGTTCCTGACTGTTGGCGCCCTCTGCAGTTGGCGCCCGTTCTCAAATCCCGCCTCTGCCACTTTCGGATTGCGTACTTGGCGCCATCCGGCATTCTGGCGCCCAGGCTCAGACCTTCGATTTCAGTTCAGTCCCGAGGCAATTGCACTTTTGCCCTCGGACTCAACTTGAGTCCGGTACTTAAGACCCGACTCGAGCTGAGTTTGGGGACTCAGTTTTCGGCCTCAGTGCTTGTGCTCCAGTGCTTGTGCTTCAGTGTGACTTGCTGTGACATTGTGTACCGAACCAAGATTGCGACTTTGCGACTTTGCGACTTTGCCACTTTGTGTCCGTGTCCATCGAGTCGTGTCGAGTCCGTGTCGAGTTGAGTGAGTGTGTGTGTGTGTGTGCTCTCACTCCCTCCCTCTCTCTTCCCCGACCTCGCTGCTCTGCCTCAGCCCCGTCACAGTCAGTCCATGATCCAAACATTGCAGCAACTCCCCCCTGGTGGCCTTGAGTGCCGACACGCTCTTCCACTTGCGGTCACCAATGTTAACGCTACTCTCTAGACCACTCTTTTTTCTCTACCCCATGCTACTCTCTACTCAACTCTACGCTAAACTCTCCACTCCACACTACTTTGTATCTCTACACTACAATACTCTCTACTGTGCCGCTCTCTCTACTCTACTCTACCTACTATCTACTCTACTCTATGCCACTCTGTACGCTGTACTCTTCATCACTCGGCGCTGTACTCTTCTCGGCTTTACTCTCTACTAGCTACTTTACACTGCTCTCAACTCTCTTCTCTCTACTCCACTGTACACTATATCTGCACTTATACTCTCGCTACTCTAATCCACTCTACTCTCTACTCTCTATTCCGCTCTACTCTCTACTCCATTCCACTCTATTCCACTCTATTCTACTCTCTATTCTCTATTCCACTCTACTCTATGCTCTACTGTTCTCTACCCTGTACTCTACTCTCTACTCTCTGCTACTCTCCGCTTTCTACTCTCTACTCTCTGCTACTCTCCGCTTTCTACTCTCTACTCTCTACTCTCTGCTACTCTCCGCTTTCTACTCTCTACTCTACTATACTGTCTACTCTACGCCACTCTACTCCACTGTAGTGTACTCGGGCTATGTCTTTATTTGGGCGTACACTGCCGTACAGGGGGATAATTTTTCGTCTCAAAGATCTAAAGTCTAAAACACTACTCTTTCTCATATCTGTTAGTTTCCAAACAATGGATCATAGTTGTTTTTTTTACCTGCCAGCATGGTTGCATCCCTGCCGACCGCCGACCCCGACCGCCGACCGTATTGCAGCCGACCAGTAGGGCCGACCGGTCGGCGGTCTGCCGACCAGTCAGAAACCAACCATCCACTAATTTGTTTTCAGATCTGAGTTGGAAGCTGTACTGCGCTTGCTGAGTACAGCCCAAATCCGCTGAGAAACTTTTGGGGATGGGGGGGTTGGGG